TGCACCCCATCCTGTTTATTCAACCCTTGACCTACCACCTTTACTACCGTCTTAACGGATTTGTTCTTCCGAGTCTCTCAGTAAGGAGAATTGAATCTCACCACAGGAAAACTTTCCAGAGTCCTTTTGAAGTAAACTTATGCGAAATGTTATATGCATATAAGAAGAATGACAGGCTTCTTTTCAGTTCATCCACCAAAATGAAAATCATACGCATATGCAAGCCACAGCATGGGTGAAGAGTGAGGTTATCCTAAGTGAAAGAAATCAATCACAAAAGGACAAATATTGGAAGATTCCACTTACCTACCATAGCTAAGTTCACAGAAGTAAAGGTAAGAATAGTGGTTGCCAGGGGCTGAGAGAGCCTGCAATGATAATTATTTTTTAATGGATATGAAGTTTCAGTTTTTCAAGATGGATGGTGGTGGTGAATATATTTAACACCGTGATACACTTATGTTAAGTAAATTTTACTACAATTAAACATCTTTTAAATGTGTTTCTAAAAGGACAGTTTGCATCCTTGAAAAGCTGTGAGTTTCCTTGCAATTATTTCCCTGGGATTTCCTACTATATCTTCAGAAGACTCAAGCACTCACAGAGCTTCAGGCATAGGTCACACATTAGAAGGGACCTTTTAGAACACAGTATATTTTAATAAATTTATTTTAGTTGTTATAGATTGTTAATTAGCTATTTGATAGGACTGTGATATAGAAACAAAACACCATCACCAGAATATGTTTTCAACAGGCAAGTCTTCACAGAGTAATAATAAATGATCTATAATAAACCACATCTTTCTCTGAAATAAATGTATAAATAAAGTCTAAATATCAGTTACAAATTCCATCTACCTCCATATCCATACCTAGGTGCTGAGTTTGCCTGATTCTAAATATAGAACCAGCAAGCACTGAATGTCAAATATGATCAAGACCCATCTAGAAACAAATACTGTTGCACCCACAATGCTGTCATTTTTCCTCTCCTAGGAGAGCTCCTATTTCCCAGTATATTCCAAAATTTGTAGATGAAGAATTTTTTTGCTAGATCATTCTTCCTTAAAATCTCATCTGTAACCTTAAAGTTTTCTACTTCAGAAGGAATTAAACTACTTTCTCTAATTACACCACATCCCTTTTAATACTCTTTGATAATCAGGGACACACAAGTACATCAAAGCACATACCTAGACTCTATCATGAGATACCCTTTGCACTACAAAGAGGAAGAATATGCCATTCTGTCTGTGTTTTCAAGACATTCAGCTGCAGTTCCAAACAATCAAATATAGATAATAAATGAAAGTTGATACAAGAACAGTTGAGAGGATCCAGTATTTATTAACAGATAGCTCAACAGGCAGAGAATAGGAACTGAAATTTAAGGACAGACTATTTTTTTTTTTAATTTTAAATGATGCTTATGTAGTTGATCAGAGTAGGAAGAATTGAGGGTCAGGAGAAAGTGGGTGTGATCATTGTTTCAAAGTTTTCCATTTCTTTGTCCTGTACCTAGGGGAAGCTGGGAAACCAGGGGAGAAGCCACCCCTAGCCTCCCAACCACCCTAACACCGGGGATGGAAAACAGCCATGCGATATTGACCCAGGGTCCTGATGTGGTGTTCGCTCTGAGGGTTCTGCCTAAGTGGTTTTGATAGTTTTGAAATGTTGTTGATCTCATTGATCCAAGGATGAGGGAACACTTTCAATGTCTGTTGGCTGACAATATTTCAAGGTCTGAGCAGACATCAGGGAAGTCTACAGGGAAGTGCAAGGCAGCAAGACAGCAAGACAGAGAGAAGGAGATGGTGAGGAACAGCAGACTCAGACAGGTTACTTAGAGATTGGAACACTGGCTTTAAAAAGGAATAGCTCTGCCACACAGAAAGCCAAATTTGTGACTTAATTACTGGAAGTAGGCTACATGGCAGTTTTTAGACCTGAAGCAAGCCTGAAATTGCATGCATTTCTCTTTTTTTAAAAGATTTTTTTTGCAAAGTCATATATATACAGAAAGGATGAGAGACAAAGATCTTCTGTCCAATAATTCATGTCCCAGGTGACTGCAATGACCAGTGCTGCGCCAATCTGAAGCCAGGAGCCAGTAACTTCCTCGAGGTCTCCCACATGGGTGCAGAGTCCCAAGGCTTTCGACCATCCCCAGCTGCCCTCCCAGGTCACAAGCAGGGAGTTGGATGGCAAGCAGAGCTGCCAGGATTAGAACTCGCACTTACATGGGATCCCAGTGCATTCAAGGCAAGGACTTTAGCCACTAGGCCACTGTGCTGGGCCCAAGAATAAATCTTATAGAACTTTTCAAAATGCATTTAAAATATTTTAAACAGAGAGGATTTGACATTGGATTGATTAAATATTATTGCAGGATGAGAGCAGAAGATAATTTTACCCAAAGTCAAGCAATTGCAAGTAACCAGTACCACATCATGGAACAAAAGGGAGTTATTTAGCCACGAGTCCATAATTGCCGTGGCACTATGCTGCCAGGGGGAGATGACAGAATCAATCATAAATACTCCACCTTTTGCCATGATCTCCCCTTTATGTTTTGTCTTTCCCATTAGGCTGAAGGGTGCTCTTGCAGTGACAGTCAATTAGCTGTATTATTGGATCATCTAAATCCTTTGGGATTTTTGCTTGCTTCTAGTTACAGTCTGGTTTTGTTATTGGTGAGTGACTTGGCTTGGCTTCACTAGGTAAATCAACAAGAATAGGATTCATAGGACTGATATATTCATAGGATTGATATATTATCGAAGACCATGATTATTTTTAACATTAGCGTCCACATGATTTTATTTTTATCTTCGTGTGAAGAAGAGTCTATTGAAAATTGAGTGGGAGTGGGCATTTGGACTAGTACTTGACAACTGCATCCCATATACGAGTGCCTGGGCTCCATTCTTCACTCTAGCTCCTGACTCTAGCTTCTTGCTAAGGCAGACTGTGGTGGGAGACAACAGCAATGGCTCAACAAATTGGCTTTTTGTCACACTTCTTGGCTCCTAACTTCAGCCATGCTCCACCCCACCCCCCAGCCTGGCTGTGGCAGGTGTTTGGAAAATAAACTAACAGATGGGAGTGAGTAGGCTCTATCTCTCTTTCCTGTGTCTGTACCTCTCAAACAAATCTTTAAAAAATCAAATGACGTAAGTGTTGGATTTCTTAGATCAACTTTTCAAATAAAAAGGTGTAGCATATTGTTGAAAGAGACATGCAATAACTTTTTCATGCGTCAGTTGCATCTGTGTCATTCTGAAGATGTAAGCTCTATTTGATGTGTGGTTGCCACTTCAGATCTTCCAAGTGTCATATGTCTCTGGTTTCAGCTCCTTCCATCTCAATTCAGTGCAGGTCCCTATTTCCTAAAGACACAACCAGATAGTGTGTACCTCTGCCCATGCCATTTTCAAACATTCCAGAAATGGGCTTCTGGGTTGATATGGAGGCAGAGATCTGAAGGGAACCCAAGTTGGGCAGAAAGTTTCAAGGATAGGGGGTTGGAGCCTATGAATAGATGCTTTCCTTACACTTTCCCCCAGTTGGAAATCCTGCAATTTTATTAGGCAATTCAGTGGTCCCAGGAGCAGGGATAGGAAAGCAGCACTGCATCTGATAGTAGCTCTCCTCCCATCTTGGCTTCACTTCCCTGTCACTCACTCCTCTATCCTGAGTCACACTCCTCAGAAAGTACTTGAAGTTTGGTTTCAGCTTCTGCTTTCTGTGGGACCCCAGACCAAGAGAGTCTTCAATATACAATACTATGGTCTGATAAGTGTCCACCTCTGTGATTGCTAAGGGGGAAAATACATTGAAAATATAACCATCAGATGTTACCAGGCCAAGACCCGAGCTTCTTGTTTTTCTTTCAGTTTTTATGCAATAGAGCAAAGTGGAAAAATTTTGATAGGAGGGAAGAACTGGATCTGCAGGAGTTGAATGTTATCAGGACTTTTCCTGTATCTCTCCTTTGTTATATTCCTAGCTGTGTTTTTCTGTTTCTCCCCTGTCTCTGCAGATGACTTCATCTGGTTCTGGAAAGGAGGGTCTTGATCTGCAGAAGGGACAGTCACACCCCTTTCCTCATGGATCCATGTGAAGGTTCTTGGTTTCAGAACCTGCTTGCTCTGCAGCTCTGCTCCCCAGGGACTTCCACTAACACTGATTGATCTGATTTTCAGGTTTGGAGGAAGGGGCTCATGCTTCTGCCTCTCTTGGGGAAATCAGTTTGCCAGCTGGGAGAACACATCCCCCACTCCTCCACTCAGTGAGCTCTTTGGTTTGTTCATTTCTTTACAGCTTTCTTTCTTTCTTTCTTTCTTTCTTTCTTTCTTTCTTTCTTTCTTTCTTTCTTTCTTTCTTTCTCTCTCTCTTTTTCTTTCTTTCTTTCTTTCTTTCTTTCTTTCTTTCTTTCTTTCTTTCTGTCTTTCTTTCTTTCTTTCTTTCTATATTTTTAATTGTTATTCGGTTTTCTAGGTATCAGGATTCCCTTGTCCACCTTCCATTCCTCCATCCCCATTCTCACCCCCATAGTGTTTTCCTCCATATGATTATACTAGTATATAGTCTTTTAGCCACAGTCACAAGTTCAACATTCTACTATTTAATGGCATTGTAGGTATAAGGTAAAGGTAGAAAATCAAGTATCAGACTGTCAATGTGTATTTGTTTCATTGCGGGCTCTCTTTTATTCAGGGGTAGAATTGCATCCTGCAAGCTATGTTTTTTCTTTTTCTTTCTTTCTTTTTTCCCTTCCACCTTTCCCATTGTCCTTCCCCCAACTGATTTCCCCCATATTATTACAACACTATAGTCCTTCAACAACAGTCCAACAGTCACAAGTCCATCATTCTGCTATTTAAGTGTATCATGTCATTGTAGGTATACACAATGGTAAAAAGTCCAGATTCCTATTGTCAAGATATATTTAACAGTTTCATCTTTTATTTGGGAGTAGAAACATGTACTGCAATGTATCTTCACTTCTCTATATGCTAGTATCCATTATATAGTTCCTTTAGATGGATACAGTTTACATATATATCTATAATTTTGTATTTTGTACAAAGGTTGTCTTACATCAGACAGAACATGATGTTTGTTCTTTTGATACTGGCTTGTTTCACTGGAGAGCATAGCTAAAAACATATGTGGACTTGCTGATCTTCAGGTTAGTTTTGATCAGTAATAAATATGACATCTTGATAGCTAATTGCTCTGGTATAATTAATATATCATATATGAATATATTCTTATATATAACAGAAGTTTTATATACAAACCCTCTTTTTAAATTTCTTTTTTTTTTTTTTACTTCTTTTTATTAGTATCATTTTACAATACAGTTCCATAGGCCCTGGTGTTTCCCTTATCCGCTCCCCCGTTCCCTTCTCCCCTTACTGAGTTCCCCTATATTGTTACTAAAGTATAGTTCTTCATACACAGTCATATGTCCATCATTGTGGACATGGACAGTGACAGAGAGTCCAGCATCTTGTTGTCAAGATATAGTAAACAATTTCATTGGGAGTCCATCTTTGTCTGGAAGTACAGATGCATACTGCATTGTATCCTCACATCTGAATATGACAGTCTCCATTACATAGTCTCCATTATACATCCCCTTAAATGAAAAGGCACAATGCAAAATCAACAATGGGAAGGAAAAAAAGAAATTAACAACACAATGAAGTTAAATGATATGCTACTGAATGACTAATGTGTCACTGAAGAAATGAGAAAGAAAATCCAGACCCTTCTTGAAGCATATGATGCGCTTTATGATCTATGAGTCATTGAAGAATTTGATCAGAAGAAAGCGTTTTGAAGAGATGAAACTTACAAAAACAATCAAAATCCACGAGATATAGTTTCCACTGATCTTTGTTGCTGAAATGTCTTTCCTGTAGGCAATAATTAGATGGGTTTTTTTTAATCCCATTTACTAATCTATGACGTTTGATTGAGCTTAAGCCATTTACATTCAGGGTTAATAATGTATGGGTGGTAATTTGGTCCTGTCATTTTAGCAATGGGTTGTTCATTGATTTAGTCTTCTGTTATTATTTTAAGAACATTATTTTAATGTTCTTCCCATTTGACTTTGGTTTTAGTGGGCGCTATTCCTTTTTTCTGTCAAGAGAACATCTTGAAGTATGATTTGTAGGACAGGTTTGGAAGAGGCATATTCTGTTAACTTTTCTTTACTGTGGAAGAATTTTATTTCATTTTCAAAGACAAAGGAAAGTTTTGCAGGGTATGTTATCCTGAGTCGACATTTTTTTTTTTTTTTTTTTTTAAGAATCTGGAATATGTCACTTCATTCTCCTCTGGCCTGTAGAGTTTCCTGTGAGAGATCCCCATGTGAGTTTAATTTGCATCCTTTTATATGTCAATTGATTTTTTCACATGCACATTTAAGGATCTTTTCCTTATGGTCGATTTAAGAGAGCTTGATTATCATGTGTCTTGGTGAAGATTGCTTTTGGTCAACCCTGTTGGAAGATCTGTGCCCCTCCTGGATCTTGTTCCCAATTCTTTCTCCAGATTAGGGAAGTTTTCCTTTAGTATTTCATTAAATACATTTGTAAGCCAAGCTTCTCTTTCTGAACTCTCCAGAATTCCCATAACTCTTATGTTTGGCCTTTTAATAGTGTCTTTCAATTCTTGAATACTTTTTTTTAGCATGATCCAGCTCTGCTTCCAGCTTTTTGTTTGTTTCCCCCTGGTGACAGGAAATATCTTCTAATTTTGAGATTCTTTTTCTCCTTCATTTTATTTTGCAAACTGCACTGTACTTTTTATTTGCTCCACTGTATTCTTCATTTCTGATATATCAGCAGCGGAATCTTCTGTATTATTCATTGTGCCTTTGTCTCTTCTTTTGGTCTTGATCATTGCACTTCTTGTTAGCTGATTTTGCTCTCTAGGGCAGGTTTCTAAGTTCTGTCACCCACAGGTCTACAATGCAATTTTACTTATTGCAGTTGGCACACAGTTTTTTGTTTGCAGTCACTTGTGCCACAACCTCCAGTGAGTTCCAGGTCTGGGTTCTTATGTTAGATTTCCACCATGGTCTCCATAACCCCAGCTCATGGCTCGCCAGTCTCTACCTTTTGTGATACCCTGCTGAGGCTGCACCATTGTCTGTACAACCTTTTTTCCCAGTTCTGGTTGAAGCAGGTTCCAGGGTTAGGGAGACACCAGGTGTCCTATATAGCTAGGTTGTTGGTGGTGCTGATGTTGCTGGAACCTGTTGGCCATTAGGCCTGAGGGCCACACGGAACTATTTTGACCCATACATCGCCATAGTTCATATTATTTTCCTATGGGACCAGTGCAGTGCACTGAGCTCAGTGAGTTCTTGCACAGGCACAGCTCATTGTTGTCCCTGCAGTAAGAAATGGCACCTGATGTGTCACTACTAAAGTTCTTGATCTGCTGACCATCAAGTCTGAGGGCTATCTGGACCTATATTAAGTGGAACCTGTAGGATGTCACATTGTTGCAGTTCACTGAGTCAGAAATGAGATCACTCCCAACTCAGTACATGTACGTTAAGTACTCTCCTGTGGCCTTCACCTCTTTAAACAAAATGGCACCTGATATGACTCTAGGGGGGCTGACTGGATTGCGAAATCCACTCGGTTCCCTCACTGCCTGTCTGGGACCTGCCACTCTGTTCTGCTCCTGGTCAAGTCAAACAGACCAACAGGATGGGCAGTTCTATTTCTGGGTTCACCTCCTGAACTCCCAGTGAAAATCTCTCCCCACCTTGTTGCTGGTGTAGTTCTAGCTGCCTGTGCAATTCAGATTGCCACTTGCTGAATGTCTCTGGGGTATCAGTCACTGCATCACCACACCATTGTGTCCGCCAATTTCCTGTGTCTGTCAGTCTCCAGGTATCCATCTGCTGTTGTTCTGTCCTCTCCTATTTCCTGGAAACAGAGAGCTGCTTCAAACTGGCTAATGTGTCTCAATCTGTTTAAACATGTCCTTACCCTATTCTGCCATCTTGATTCTCCTAATTTCTTTTTTTAAGATTCATTTTTGTTGGGCCTGGTGGCGTGGCCTAGCGGCTAAAGTCCTTGCCTTGAACGCCCAGGATCCCATATGGCCGCTGGTTCTAATCCCAGCACCTCCACTTTGCATCCAGCTCCCTGCTTATGGCCTGGGAAAGCAGTGAAGGACAGCCCAAAGCCTTGGGACCCTGCACCCATGTGGGATACCCGGAAGAAGTTCCTGGATCCTGGCTTCGGATCGGCATAGCATTGGCCATTGCGCTCACTTGGGGAGTGAATCATTGGACGGACGCTCTTCCTCTCTGTCTCTCCTCCTCTCTGTATATCTGACTTTCCAATAAATAAGATTTAAGATTTATTGTTGTGCTTGCAGAATTGCTTTGCAGGTTCAAGGACAGCACTCAGTGTGGATCCTGGTGTGATGCATTAATAGCCACTTCTAACACTGCAGTGGTCACTGATAAATTCACTGTTGCTAAATCTGAGAGGTGTTTTGCACTGTTATTTTGTTTCACCTTTGTATAGTAACTGATGCTGCTGACCTCTATCCTTGACCTTGTTTGTTCTATTGGTTTTAATTTTACTTGATTTCTGAAGGTTTTTCTTCTAGTTCTATCACTATTGGATCCCACTATGCATCATAGAGTTCTCTTTCCCTGCCATCAGTTAAATACAGAGGCACCATCCCCAACTCTCTTCTGTCCTTATGCCACATAGTCTTGCAGTGATCTTACCTTCACCACATCGTTGACCAAGTCTTAGGGTAGATTTATGCAAGTTTCTATTTCTAGACTCATATTTCACCCAAGCTCAAGAATACTTGACATATGGTTAGATGCACTTAATTGCTGAAATAAACTCAGAATGCTTTGATAAATTTAACAAAAGAGGGGAGTGTGTTGGTTTCATGTTTTAGACCTTTAGTCATCAAATATTTGTCCACCTTTTCAGCAGGCATCTCAGACATTTCATGTGCAAAACCAAAATCATTCAGTTCCTCATCCCATATATGAGTTATCTATCCTTCCTATATCCATCGACTTGGACACCCTAACCAGAAACTTCTTTCTCCCTAGTACTCCCACTGAAATGCCATCTGTTCTTAGCAAGTTGTATTAGTCTAGCTCCTAAGTCCCTCTTGGATTTCTCTCTTTCTCTCTATTCCCTCACATTATCCCACCTAAACACTTGGCACTTCTTAAATGTGCTGGCATCCTCTTCTGCTCCAGCTCCTCTATGTGTTAGTGCTGCCTTTTCTCCTTTGCCTACTCCTTCTTTCTTTAAAATATAACTGGGGACTTACTTCCTCTAGGAAGTCTCCTCTCCTCCCCCTAAGGATCAAACAAGGAGTCCCTGGGTACTCTCGGTGGCAAATACTTGCAGTGTACTGGGTCACAGCTGGTTGGCACACATGGGAAGAATCTCAGAGGCCTTTCCCATTCTCCGCTTCATGTCCTCTCTGAAGTGTCTCTGTGCTTGACTGCCTTGGGAATTTCTCTGAATCCACAGGAAGCTGCTGCTTGACGTGGTAGCCAAATTGACATAGAATTAACACAGAGAAAGATAATATCCCCCGGGGCAACCACCGATTAATAGGAGGCTGGAGTTGGTGGATTTTTTTCAGAGGGATAATTCTAAGGCCCATTCTGTTTAATCATTCAGAGCATCTTCAGCGAGATGATGCCCTAGTGGCCCGTTATTGCTCACTGACATCCCATAATATCTGTTCACCTTCTCTCCCTAATCTTCCACTCAATGTCTCTGGTCTCCACTACCAGTATGTATGTTTCCCATGTTGAATTATGCTGAAACCAGCACAGCACAGGGTTTAAAGAGAGGCAATACATAATGAGAAGAGAAAAAAGAGATTTTTGAAAGTGGAGCAGCCAGAGGACTCCTCTGTCTGTGGATTCTGATGGACTCAATACCTGTACCAGTGGCTTTTATTTATTTGGGGAACTATATTTCTTGTAGACTTCACTTACCAATGAGTCTTTTGTTTACTAACTAAACACTGACCTCAGCTGCATGCCCAGAGGGAGGAGAAGAGAACACAGCCAATTACCTTAGGTTTGTGTGCTGGCCTCAGGCTCTGGGCTTGTCTACTAGGGATCCCTTATCAATTCATCATTGATCATCCTTGCTACAGCTGTCATCAATGCAGTGTCAACCCTACCGCTCTCATTCCCAGACACATGGCACTGACCTGGCTTGGTCCTTCTCTGGTTGCTGATGTCTTTTCCTAATGCCCTTCAACAGCTTAACTTGTTAAGAACAACACCTGCATCAGAGGGCTTCAGGTATTGGCTGACTGCAGCCTTGCATGCAGAAAGCTCTAGCAGGGTTTGTTCATAGAGAAGTTCGCTCTGTTTGCAGCAGGTTATCACTGTTGTTTTACTTTATTCATCTTTTCATCTTTAGGGCCCAATACCCTGATGTAGTAGAGCCTAGATTAAAATAGGTAAGATGCGAAATATGTAAAAGGAGGCAGAGGAGAGAGAGAAGAGACAGGCAGAGGCAATAGGAGACAGACTTTTGGCCAACATCACTCTCACTTAGTCCTGGCCATTCCTACTGCTAAACTTTTCATTTTACGAAGGTACTAAATTTGACTTGAGCCATGCAGATGTATATTATTATCAGAAGATCATCTGCAAGGTAGACACAATCATGGGTGAGCTTTTAGTTTATGTGGTTGTTCATGACGAGGTCCTTATGAGACTCAGCTAGATTAGACTTTGGAGGATGCCATTAGAGCAAAATACCTGGAATGCAGAAAATAATGATGGAGTCAGCAGAGGTGCTGCCATTGAACTTTCTGCAACCTCAGACAGTTTGTAGGTGAGACAGAGTTTTGGAACTGGGAGTCAAGGTAGTCTGGGCTCCAGGGGGTGTTAAAAAGCTGGGAGTTCACAGATGATTTCTCTGAAACAACTTTAGTTGGAGAGCATGCTTCCCTGATGAATAACGTGATAGCTTAGCACATAACTATTTATGAAATTCTTATCACAGAGCCACCTAAACACTTCAGAGACATTAGATGCGTGACCTAGATACATCCAGAATGGTATTAGACTCTAGGTACATTCATAAATGTAATTAAGGAAGATGTCTAATGGGTTCATTTTTTTTAAAGTAAAAGCATTCTGTAAATCTTTGATTCAGTCATACAATTTGAATACCAGCCTCAGGAGAAACCCTAGTAATAGTGCATAAATAGCTGGGCTGGAAGTTCTCAGTCTCTGCTGGGGTTTAATGCTGGAAAACAAAATAGTAACTTAGGAGAGTCAAAAATCAGGCATGGTAGAGATTTGTATTGCTTTTTTTGATTTGTTTCCTTTTTCTTTTCCTGTTTTGATGTTTTATTCTGCTCTTCTTTCCCCATCGATCTTGTTCTTTATACTCAGAAAATCCAAATAGCAAGGAATCCGTGGTGCAAATCATTTGCTTTTAAACAGATCCGCGTGGTTACTGCTATTCCTTTCCCTAGGTTTCATGAAGGCCAAAGATATCTGTAGAGAAGGATTTTCTCGCAAAATGAATGTTTTAGAAACTTAAAACACAACTATATTTGGATCTGTAAGCCATACACAGCAGGGAACCTACAGCAGCATCTAAAACCTGCTATTCTTTCTTATTATCTCTATTTTTCAAATCCCTATGTGCCTCATCTTCAGAAGTGATCTCACCTCTTCCAGTCCAAGAAAATTTTCCTTAACAGAACATGCAGACTTTGGATTTTTCTGCCTTTCCCCACATTTGTACCCCCCAGCAATGATACACACCACTTAGTTCAATTTGCATCCTTGCACAAAAGGGACTCTCCTTGGAAACCTTTCTTGCACTTTTCAAACATAATAGCATTCAAAAGAAATGTGTTCTTTTTGAGATAATAACTGCTGTTAACTCCCCCTCCAGATCTTGCTGAAGTATTTGACAATTAACCCAGCTTACCACTGGCTTGAAATGATTTGACAATGATTTAACTCTTTGGGGAAGTACTTCTCTGTAACTTACTACTGAGCATTTTCCCTTTTCATTGTATTTTAGTGCATTAAATTTCATCTGCTCTCCCACTCTGTTAATATTAATCCATCTGTGGACATT